TATTCATTTCATATTAATGTTGTTGCAAAGTTTGAGGCTTTTATTTCTGAGTTGACTGCTTTTCTGGGTGCTCCACGTGGGTAAAAAAATTCTGCATAATAATTTTGGCTTTGGAGTGCAGTCTAAAAGTGAACTAGCACAAATTCTGTCTGCTGTGCTTTAACATCTCAGACAAACCACACCACAGTCAAGCTGAAAGCGTGCTGAGAAGAATTCTCTGTGTGGTTGTTTGGTCTGCATTTGTGTAACTTTTGATAACTAAAGAATGGATTTTTCTGTCATTCCAACATTCCACCTCCTCTTTTGTTTTCTTACCTAATTGAAGAAGTGTACAATAAATGCAGGTAGGCATGGATGCTCTCCAAAGTCAGTCTTTCCTTTATGTATTATTTTCAAATTGCTCTTGAATTCTGTTGAATCCAAAGTTTTTCCAGAAAGAAATTGTTGCTTTCTGAAGTAAGATTGCTTCAATTTGCAATAGCAAAAAAATAAAAAATAAACAAAAAACTTGATGATGCACTGCTAAAATCCAATAACTGACACACGGGAAGTGCGACCCTCTGCCATCCTATAATGATGGCAGAAATGTCATATGGGGAGGTGGACGGGGGAATGCAGAGACAGAAAAAGGGAGAGATGGCAGTGCAGAGAGCAAAGGATGTAGAAGATTGTGAGCAAGCACACCAGTGTGAACCTTGATGGGTTGGACACGTGCACAGCATGAAGCACAATCAGCAGCACCACAGGCACACGCGCATGCATGGGAGAACACAATATTGCATAACCACAGGGGAGGGTTTAAAACACACACACTCATGCACACACACCTTTGAGTAAGAGTATTGTGGTTGGGGCAGCATAAACAGCCCTAATGAAAGACTTATCACATACACAGTACTTTTTTCACTAATTAGTAATCTAACACATTACTATCTAATTCTAATTACTTTCTATCGTTACAACGCCGTTACCGTTACTAACAAGAAAATGCGATGCAGATGTGTTACTGTTTTTCAACACACATACGATTGAAGCTGTCTTCAGCTTACCGGGAGCCAGGGGGCAAAACAATTGCACCAGTGCTGCTGATTGGCTGAGGAAGAATGAAGTAATCATGGCAAACCAATCACATGACCAATTTAAAGCGACATAGCAAAAATGACTACGGGAAGAAACTGCATTGTCTAAGGAAAGCCCTCGAAAGCAAAAACAAAAGCCAATAAACCCCACCCTTTCCTATTGGTGGAAAAATGTACCGTGTTGACCAATCAAAAAAAATGATATGGCAACATGCCATTGGTTGTTTCTTTTTTTGAGGGAAGTTTTAGGAATGGTGGCAGCAAGAGACAGAGCGAGAGAGGGAGTTTTGAGATGTGAGAGATTTGTGACGTTTAGCGTGTTTGGAGCGTGTAGTTAGTGTGTTGTTAGTGTGTAGTTAGCGTGTAGTTAGCGTGTAGTTAGCGTGAAGTTAGCGTGGCAGCAAGAGACGAGAGAGGGAGTTTTGAGATGT